TTTGGAGCAGCAGTGAGCTCAGATGATTTCTATTTGTGCGTCAGCCCACCCAGCTTCCTCAATCCTTGGCTGCCCTGGGGGAGGGGGCTCCCATGCACAGGATGAGCAGTTTGTTTCTAATCCAGGACTCCAGACAAGTCCACCTTGGTTGAGAACCAGCTCTGAGGACTGACTGAATTCAAATAAGAAGCTGAACATAGGATGGGGGTTAGGGAGGAGCTCTGTGGTATGTGTAGGTCAGAGAAGGTAGTACACACATTCTATTCTCCACCTATGCCCACCCCATCTGCACAGACCCCTGCTGGGAAAATTCTACCAGCTCTTCAGGGCCTTGCTTAGTGTGAGGTCTTCTTCTGACCCCTTCCACTCAGAGTCATCAAAGCAGTGTCTTTGTTCTTCCTGGCCAGACACACTAAAGGGTGGCCCAGACCAGCAGTAACAGCATCACCTGGAACTTGTTACAACTACAAATCCTCAGGACTTCCCCAAACCCTCAGAATCACACAGTAGGGGAGGGTCACTTGAGCAATATGTTTTAACAAGACTTCCAGAGGTGATTCTGATGCCTACTGAAGTTTAGAACCACTTTAGGCCACTGACGACCCCTTGAAGTTATAGAATTTACAGATCTTCTCCCCCTACCAGACTGTGAAATCTATTGACAAGGACATTATAAGGTTCTTCCTTGTATGTTCCACCCCCTGCCCGCACAAGACCCAGAACACAAGGTGCTCAGAGAAAATTTTAAATGAAGGGGACACCGAGGCTAGAGATGGGAAGACTCTCATTAAGTTTCACTGAGCATTCTTTACTAAACCTCCCCACCATCCATGTCACTCCCCTACCCCCAACAAGTGTCCTAGCTCTCTCCACAATAAATAACTTGCAGTTCCTGGTCGACTCTGTGTGTATATGTGTGTGTGGTGTGTATGAACAGGTTGTACTTTAATGGGGAAATCTTCTGGCCTTGTTTTCACCAGGAAAGTGACTCATCATTGATGATTCAGTTCAGACACCACTCCTTCCTCTCTCAAGTTTCATGAAGGGCTGTCATAGGACCCGCTGCATTTACACTTGCCCATCTCACCTTCCATATGAACATTTTGATGGCAAGAACTATGTCTGATTCACTTATTTCTGGCAATTCCAGAATCTCATAATTCCACTGAATGTAGTTAGTTGATGAAGGTGCTGAGTTTAGAGTGGCAGAAAAACCAATAACAGCAAAAAGAAAAATAACCCTCTTCTCTATACACATAAGACAGCAAATAAAGCAAGACCAGATCTGAGGTCTCTTGAGTGCCATCTCAGGGCACTCTGTGAGTGACTCACCCAGACTGGCCACCCCCATTGTATATGGCCTTTTCTGTCTCAAGCTCCATGCATAGATATTTGTGAGTGACCATTTCACTGTGCCCACTCTGGCAGGAGGTCATGCCATTGTCAGCAATGTCAAGAGCTGCTTTTCAGTGCCCAGTGAGTCTCCCTGGTTACTACCTTGCATTTCCAAGGCAAAGTCCAAAGTCATTACCCATCCAATTTAGGATGAAGGGAGAGAGGAGTGGCCACCGGCATTTTGCCCTAAAATTCCTTTGCTATTAGTTTAATAATAAAAATAAATTATAAAAAAATAGCTAATATATTGTGCTCACCATTTGCCAATACTGTTGTAAATGCTTTGCATGCATAAGTAATTTGTAATCCTGGCATAGCATTGTAGGATAAGCACTGGACTGTTAACCACAAAGAGGGCAGTTCAAACTCAACAGCCACTCCTTGGAAACCTATACAGGGGTCGCTATGAGTAGGAATCAACTTGTTGGCACTTTGTTGTTGGTAAGTGCCATTGAGTCGGTTCCAACCCATAGCGACCCTGTATAGGGTTTCCAAGAAGCAGCTGGTGAGCTTGTGTTACAGACCACAGGTATTGGGGTGCTGAGGACCAGTGTCATAGACGAAAATCCAGCACGTGGCGACGCTCCGACCTGCTGGCCAGAGACCCTGTGGGCCCAAGGAAGTAACCTCCGGACGTCCCGGGTCATTGGCTTTTACGAACTCACTGTGGGGCCAGCTCTGTATAATTCTCTTTACTACTATTAATTCACTCTATGCTTCGAACCCCTGTAATTGCAGCTTCTGAGAAAATAGTTTCTTAATGTGCCTCTCTCAATGTCTCCACTGTGTTAGCAGTGTGTAAGGTTCTAAGAACAAATCTCTCTGAGGAACAGACTCTGGCCACTGGGAAAACTCATCCAAACTGCTCTTTGTCAAATTATTTAGTTATGTTTGATATAAACTTACTACTTAGGCCTTGATACCCATGGACAAATATTAAACTGCTCCTAAAGCCGAGACTGTAAAAAGCTCCAAAAACAAGTTTGCTAAGAAGCTCTGGAGACAAGTTTCCAGGGTTTTATCTAAAGAACAATAGCGTCAGCCTTCCCGGATAGCCTTCAGGTGCAAACCATTCACCTAGGTGCCTCGCTTCCTCCTGCAGACACAGAGGGATTTCTTTCAATCCCTTTCACCTTTCCCCATTCAAGATTAGGTGCTATAGATATGTTAATTAGCCTGGAGAAACCCAATTGCTGCCCTGGGATTCGAACCTGAAAAGTACCATGTAATAATTTGCTTGAATTTCTGGAAAATTACGGATGTTAGATTATCAAGACAATTTGTGATGTATGTTTTAGAATTTGTACCTGTAAATCCTTGTGTCCTGTGTTGAACAATTAATCACATTTCACTTCTGTACCCCCGTCTTAATAAACCCCGCCTTCCTTTGTGTAAAGCTCCTTCCCGAAATAAAACGGAAGCGCAGACCCAAGCCCGCATGCATTATGGCTTGCAGGCCATGCGTTATGACTGGCATGCGAGGCTTTACAGCTGGCAAGGCATGCGTTAAGGTTTGCAAGGCGGTGCTTTACTGCCTGCAGGGGCCACGATGCCAGTAGTCCAGGATCTGCCCGCCAGTGTCACATCCACTCTGGTTTCGGGGTGTCTTCTGTTAGGGTCCGAGACCACCACCCAATAAGGAGACCAAGAGACAAAGATAATGCAAAAGCAGGCGGGCTTTATTCAAGCTAGCATGCTAGGGTCGAGTGGCGGCTGGCAGTGTAGTGTTCAGCAGTGTTACAGCAGTGTTACAGCAGGGTTACTGCATCAGCTCACCAAAGCTCGACCCCAAGCAGTTCACAAACCTTACCTTATATAGGGTTTTGGGACACACCATGGGAGGGGGATATGCAAACTAGGATTACAACTTTTACCCAGTGGAGCATTCAGAAACCTCAGGATCCAATAGATTTAAACATAACATCACATAAGTGACCTATAGTATTAAGACTTTTTTCCAGTCCTACCGGCCTCATCTTATCTGTTACCTGTTCCGGCCACCTGGCCTGTGAGTCTTCAACTGTGACAGTTTTGTGAGTGTGCTCTTTACCCTGCATTTGTGTCTCTTGAGACATTCTGTTGGGGACTTGCTTAGCCATGCCTGGTTGTCCTTATGTCCCTGGCCTGAAGCAGATCTCAGAGCAAGCTCTTATACCTGAAGTGGGGATTCTTGCTCTGAGCCCTACTTTCAGCCGCCCACTTTTATTCTCACACTTCTTGTCTCTCTGGTGTCTTTGTGTGTCTTCTTTATCTGTCGCTGTCGCCGCCAGATCTTCCTCCTTCGTGAACCGAACCCCCACGTTGAGGCCGGTCCCTGACAAGCTTTGACCACTGACCTTACAGCTCAAATGGCTTTGCAGTCTGACACATTAACCCACAGCGCCACACCAGGACTCCTGATGGCACTTAAAAACAAGTAATTTAATCCTCCTCCCAAACTTAGGTGTGGCACTGTAGAATAAGCACTAGATTGCTAGCCACAAGGTTGATGGCTCAAACTCACCAGCTGTTCCTCAGAAACCCTATACAGAGTTGCTGTGAATCGGAACCAATTTGATGGCATTTAACAAGACCCAAGTGTGGCAGCGGTAGTGAGGTTGGCCCAGAATCGGACATTGTTTCGTTCTGCTGTGCATGGGGTCGCTATGAGTGGTTCCCGACTCGATGGCACCTGACAACAACAACAACAACAAGACCCTAGGAGGTGACTATCATCCCTGCTTAAGAGAATGAGAGATTGTCACTGTGCTATATTGAAAACTCCCATCTGTAATAAAATAAAAAGTCTCTGTAGCACTTTCATGTTTATGAAGAGTTTGTATCTATTGAACTCATTGAACATTTTCGATAATCCAACGAGGGAGGCTCAGAGAAAGACTTGATTAAACCCACAAAGTCAGGAAATGGCTGAGTACACACCATTGATTCTCTCATTCATTCATTCTTTCTTTCTTCCATCTAGTAAGCTGAGGGATATAAACATGAATGGTCCCTGTGCATACTGCATTACCTCTCATTCCATTCCTCAGTTGGGAGAGGAGCTCACTCCAGGAATGGGGTCCCAATCGTCTTTCCAATGTCAAAAAACCCCAATTCATTGCCACTGAGTCATTTCCAAATCATGTGACCCCCTGTGTGCAGAGTAGAACTGCTTCACAGAGTTTTCACAGCTATGACCTTTCAGAAGCAGATTGTCAGACTTTTGGGTGGGTTCCAACCACCAACCTTTTGATTAGTACTTGCGCATTTAACCATTTGCACCGCCAGGGACTCCAATCATCTTCCTAGGGGCTCTGAAATAAACCTACTCTGAGGCAAAGAAACCAAATTGGGATTTTCTTATCTACCCCCAGCCCCCATGCAGGTTCGGTTAAACTGAGACCCACACAGACTCTGGGCTTCTCTATGACAGTCTTGCTTGCATAGGGCCCCCAAGACGGGCAGAACAGTATAGCTGAGTCCAAAGCAGTATGTGGGCAGTTTGCTGGGAAAACCCCTCATTTACCCTGCTAGACTCCAAAGCCCTTTTGACCATACCCCACCCCTCACCTTTCCCCACACAGAGACTCTAAAAACGGAAGGGTGTGGAGATATTTATTAACAGTTTATGAGGCTGGCCCATGTGGGTCTCGACTGGGGACAGGGAGCTCTGCAGGACTGCCTGGTATATCACTGGTGGTCACTGTGGCCATGAAGCAGTGCTGAAGGAGGTGTTCGGGATCTGGAGCCTGCTTCTCATTGCAGTCCATCGGTCGGTTCAGGAAAGGGTAATTTTGTCCAAGGGGGCTCATTCTTGTCACCTCCACTGAAATGCCTGTGTTTCCATCTTGGTGGTCAGGGTGTGCCTCCTCAGAGCCTGGAAAACAGCAAACTGAATGCATGGAGCTTCCTCCTGCAGCCACTTCCTCCCCTAGCAAGTTCACCCCAGCTAATTTCAGATGATAACCTGTGCATTCATAATTTATTCTAATACAATTTCCTTGATTTCTGCCCCACTATACAAAAAAAATTTTGTCACTAAATCCCATGGGGACTAAATGCTCATTACACTTATCAGGAGCATATGACACAGTTGAATATCTCTGCTTTATTAGACAAAAAAGTACATCAAGTGCTCAAGCCAGAAATTTCATAATCTCTCATACCTCCCCTAAACTTTCACAAAGCCTATGTCAGCTTGAGGACTAAGGTGTGCCTGACCCAAGCCATGGTATTTTCAATAACCTCATATGCATGTGAAAGCTGGACAATGAATAAGGAAGATCGTAGAACAATTGATGCCGTTCAATTATGGTGTTGGAGGAGAATACTAAAAGTGCCATGGGCTGCCAATAGATCTGTTTTGGAAGAAGTGCAGCCAGAGTGCTCATTAGAGGCCAAGATAGCCAAACTTTATCTCTCATACTTTGGACATATTGTTAGGAGGGAACAGTTGCTGGAGAAGGATATCATGCTTGGTAAGATGGAGGGTCAGAGAAAAAGAGGTAGACCCCCAACAAGATGGATTGTCCAGGTGGCAGCATCAATGGACTTAAGTGTGGCAATAGTACTGAGGTTGGCCCAGGATTGGACATTGTTTCATTCTGCTGTGCACAGGGTCGCTATGAGTCGGTGCCAACTTGATGGCACCTAACAACAACAACACTTCACCAAGTCCTTGGTTTAGGGGGTGAGTACATGTCGGAAATCCTATACAGGGCCGCTATGAGTCGGAACTGACTCAGTGGCACACAACAACAACATGTCCAAAGGTGATCCATCCAAGTAGAGCTGAGGCCTACCTCATCACCATCCTCAAAATCTGCCCACTTCACTTCAGCCTCATGGTTACCAACTTAGGCCTGGTCTTCATCATCTCCTAACCAGATCCCTAGAACAGCCTCCATTGGGGGTCCTTTCAGTCCTTGCTCCATGCTGTGGTCAGACAGACCTTTATAAGGCTAAGTGAGTCTATATAGTTCTTTCTCAAAAGCCTTCAGTGTCTTCATATTACCCACAGTCCTTGACATGGCATTAAAGCCTCTTCATCAACTGACCCATTCCTTCTCTTCAGCTTCATCACTATCACTCTTCCCTCAATAACTCTAAGCTTTTCCACATCAACATTCTCACTGTTCCCCAAATGGACCCATTCCTTCACATCTCTAGGCCTTTCCTGATGATTTTCCATTTTATACCTTCTCTAGATAGCAAATTCATATACATTAAGACATACTGATAGAGGATATTCAGGAAGAATGGTGCCTCTGAAACTCAGGGAAGAATGAATTTCAAGAAGGAAGCTGTATAGGACATTGGGGTTCACTCCCCAACATTCATCTCATCCACTCTCACTTTGGTTGCAATTGGCTACATCTCAGCTCTGGAAGTGGCTCATTATTACTCTGAACCAATCAAATAATACCATTCCTTTGCCACACTGATTGGCAATCAGTGCACAGTATTCTCTGGATATAACGATAGGTTTAGGGGTAGGCACATGCCATAAGGTGGTCCAATCAGAGTAGAGCTCAGGCTTTTCTCTCCCACCCTTCTGACTGAAAGAATAGACAATGCTTTCTATTCTTGACTGGATGAGAATAAAGCCTGTAGTCCCAGGGATTGATGGTGACAATTCACTACCATGAGTAAAAACAGAGTTGCAGTCAACACAATATAGAGGGTAAGAGCTGAGAGAATCTCAGAGAATGAAACTTCACATTTGAGGACATGGTAAATTTCTATTCAAATATGCCTAAAACCCACCTTACTTCTGGACTTTTCAACTACTAAGACAATACATTTCCTTTTTTGTTTTTAAGTTTTTATTTTGAAACTACTTAATATGTTACAAAAATAGTACGGAGTTTCTGTGTACCTTTCACCAAGTTTCTCCCAGTGATAACATCTTAACAAAGCCACAGTACATTTTCAGAACTGGGAAACTGACACTGAGAGAACACAGTGGACTAAACTACATATCCTGTTCTTTTTTTTTAAAGGTTTTTATTGTGGCTCGAGTGAAAGTTTACATGGCAGATCATCAGTTTTACACTCAACAAACCATATGCCTTGTTTCGTTACAATGATTATAATCCCCTCCATGTACCAGCAGTTAACAGTATTTCTCAACATTCACTTTAGCTTATTAAAAAAAACAAAAAAAACCACTCAGGCATATATAATAATTTACATCTCCAAAGGGCACAGTCTGTAAATCTGCCTCCTGGCCACCAGCTCTTAGTCCCTCTCTTCCCATAAATCTAGAGTCCTCAGCCGCTCCCCCTCTCCATGACCCCATCTCTGCCTCCATCTCTGGCGTCACTGCTTCTCTGGATAAGGTCCTGCATTCTGCTTGTGCGCTTCTCCCTTGATGGTCCTAGGGTCCTCTGTTTCTGGACTGTAAGATTAACCACTCACCTGTTTTTGTTACAAAACTTCTACCTTTACAATTGTGACATTTGCAATTAGTCATAATAACAATTATTCACTATTGAATCATATGAATCTTATCCCCATCTCTTTTCACCAGACCCATCTAGACAAGATGAAGTCTATTCAGTGGGGACTCTTTCTTTCCCCCCAATGCTCTCTCTTGAAACCTTGTAAGCCAGTCACTTCGTGCCTTTATCACCTCCTCATTTTAGGTAGCCAACATCTAAGTTGCCCGACCCTATCTACCCTGTGTACAGAGGGGATAGAATTGATACTTGATTCCTTTCCTCTCTGTTGGTATTTAGAGTAACTACCCCTCTGAGTAAGGAGCTCTGGTAGCGTAGTGGTTACGAATTGGGCTGCGAACTGCAAGCCCAGCAGTTTGAAACTACAAGCTGTTCCGTGGGAGAAAGATGAGGCTTTCTGCTCCCGTACAGATTTACAGCCTCAGAAACCATGTACAGGGTGGCTGAGTCAGAACCGACTCCATGGCACATAACAACAACAACAACCTCTCTGAGCATAGGTCAGGTTCATCAAATTGTAGCAATTTACCCTTGTTTCCTTTATTTAAAAAATTCATTTATTTATTTTTTTGGTAATCTTTTTCTAGTTGAGTTCTGATTATCGAGCCACCGAGGCTAGGTCAAATGGGTACTGTCTGCAAGTTTGGGTGTTCTGTGTATCTCCCCTCACTTCATATCAGCTGGATGCTTCACTCTCATCTCTAGCCCTCTGTGGCTATGTCCTTGTCCATGTGCTCAAGTGTCCTCAGGTCTCACCACACTTTGGACCAATCAGCCCTTTGTCTTCTCTCTCTCATCTCTAGGGCAACGGGAGTCAATGGACTGTGGTTGAATTCAGCCCATTTCTTCATTGTTGCCTTTCCCCCTCTTCCACTCACCAGTAGACCACTGTGGTCGCCAGCAAGTTTACATTCCTGTCCATGTGTTCCCTTTGAGTTTTAGTCTTAGAGGGGAGTTTGTCCTGAAGGCACTTGATTGCTAGCCTTGATGTTTTCCTGACGAACAGCTTGCTTATTCTTGTACTAGCCAGTCATGCTGACATTTTTGTTTTGTTTTTTTTCCTGATGATCTTTCTTTGAAGATGTATCTTCTGTCACTGTAGCTGTTCCGGGCTGGTCTGCTTGTCCTTTCTAGTGGGAATGTCCCACCTCAGAAGGTTCTGGATGGGACTCAGGATTCCACCTCAGGTTCTATTCTCTGTATAGGCTTGGCAAGAGGCCTATTTCACTGGGCAAGTTCTAGAACCGCTTTTAGGTATTCCTATCAGTTATAGGCTGAAGATGGGTTTACAAGTTTTCTCTAATCATGTTTCCCAACATTCCTTTCTATCTCACTCAAGTGTCTATTTTACAAAAGTAGGCAAAGGAAACTAATATTCATAAGACAGTCAAGCATTTTAGTATTATTTCCCTTCTTCAAACTATACCTAGATCCCTGTATCCCAGAGCTCTGTTGTTCCAAGGTTGAGCATGCATTTACCTCTGTCCCCCTAAGGACATGCAAACCTGTCTCACTGTTCCCCTATCTGTCTTGTTCTTCTGCTTCCTCCCCCATTTTGTATTGCCCTCCCCAACACACGTACTAAACCCTCACCCCAACCCCATTGTTGTAGTTACCTTTGTTGTTGTTATTGTTATGTGCCGTGGAGTCAGTTCCGACTCATAGCGACCCTGTACAGAATTTCTGAAGCTGTAAATCTTTACAGGTGCAGAAAGCCTCATCTCTTTTTCCTGTGGAACAGTTGGTAGTTTCAAACTGCTAGCCTTAAGGTTCGCAGCCCGATTTGTAATCACTACACTCCTTATATTCCATTAATTCTTCCCTCCATTTAAGATAGTCTATTTTATCCAGTAATCAAACTAACCTTCCCACCATCTGGATCTCTGTTCCTCTGTGTTTACCTTCTTTCACATTGTAATTGTTTTGATCATAGGCTAACCTCCCAGATCCTCTGTTCTTATAATTTTATTCTGTTCTTGACTCTACCATTTGTCGATTGAGTTCAGGATGCTGCTGCCACGTACGTCATTGTCTAGTTGTTGTCTGTTCTTGTTGGTTCTCGGTCCAGAGAACTTCGTATAGAATGTTTTTCTTAGCAGGGTTGGCTTTGGCAAAATCCCGTAGCTTCTGTTTATCCTGAAATGTTTTGATTACACCATCATATTTGATTGACAGCTTTGCCACCAAGAGGATTCTTGGATGGTAGTTTTTCTCTTTCAGAGTTTTATATATGTCTCCCCAATTGCCTTCTTGCCTGCATGGTTTCTGTTGAGAGATCCAAACTTAATCTGATTTGCTTGGCTTTGTATATTACACTTTTCTTTTCCCTATCTGCTTTCATGATTCTCGCCTTATCTTTGATTTTGGAGAGCTTGATTATGATGTCTTGGTGACTGTCCTTTAGGGTCTGTCCTTC